AACAGCCAGAGCGATTGTTTAAATAGGGAGGGGTGTTAGGTGTTAATAATTTGTATCAGTATAGAGTTACATTCATAGATGTCAAGTCAGGCTAAGGTAGGGGTGTCTAAATTTAAAACGGAAGATGTTTTCGCCTAGTCTGGTTTACGTGTCTATGGAGATTTATTTATTTTTTATTTTATTTCTTTCTGAAAGGGTTTTGTGTATATAAAAAAAAACTGCCGTAACATTTGTTTTTTGACGACTTCATAAAGGGTTATCATTTTTTGTAGGGTATTTAAACTATTTATTAGGGCTATGGATTATAAAAATTATTTTATTGTATGTTTGTTTTTATGCTAATTATTCAATGCAAAAATTTGATGATGTCGGCAAAAAACCGTTAACTCATGTCTATTGTTTAATTGATTTTTATTATTTAGAAACTTATATATATATATATATATTCATAGATGCATGTTTCATTAAATAATTTAGAGAAGTTGTGTTTATTTTAAGTAAGTTCCTTTTATATTGTCTGATAAGCTTAATAACATTATCATTGAAAGACGAAAGGAAATCACTATATTGATGCATGTTTAAATCCTATCTAAGCTTTCGGCTTACATAAGCCATTATCAAAGATGACAATTACATTTCAATATATCAAACGATACACGGACGAAACAATAATGATAGTCTGTTTTTGTTGCATGAAAAATTTCAAAGCAACGACAAACTCGTGTATACGAGACGCGGAAGCGAAAATCGCATGGCAGCTCGTGACGTCACATATGACCACGCGAGAGTTAAAACGAGAAGTATTAAGTATAGGCATTTAAGAATATTTGCTTATCAGAACTTACTTAAAATAAATAGATACAACTTGTCTATATTATTTAATAAAACATGCATCAATGAAAAATTGCTGCCTAAGTATACACTATATATTTGAGCCATTATACCACGACACATTTTACAGCAATATATATATTAAAAAGAAAGTGCAAACGTTTTTTGTTGTAATGTGGATTTATTTAGAAAAAAAAATTTTATTTTAATAATTTTAGAAATTCCACGTGTTTTTTCTGAAGACCGTCGGGAGGAAAAGTGGAGTTTTCTACATATTAGTAAAATAATTAAAATTTTTCTTTTTTGTTAAATAAATCCAATTTCTCAAAAACGACATGAAAGAAAAATTCATTTTTAATATACATACTTTTCTCTCGTTGGAACCACTACAACATATTTTTTTATTTATATATATATATATATATATATATATATATATATATATATATATATATATATATCATTATCATCATCCCCTTGATTTTTGTAATCATAAGGCAGATCCGAATACAGAAGCCACACTAACTTGTTTAAAGAACGGTGTACCAACGGCTACCATCAGCACTTCTAGTGCTCGATTAAAAGATGAGCGAATTTGGAAGCACGAATAAAAGGTATGAATACTGATGTTCTTCTTTTAACACCCAGCCACATATTGGATTTAAGACCACATGTAAATCTGCACGGCAAGACGAGTTCTTAAAGAACTGACAATGGGAACAATATATTAGATAAGATGTCGATTCAGGGACAAGGGAAGTGTCACAACGAATCTAAACAATATTTACGTTAAATATTCAAAAAATATGTACGAAATTTATTTCGATATGTAAAGAAAAATAACTGGATGAAATTTTATTATAAATTTTATTTTGATATAAAATTTCGTTTCTTACGGCTTATCAACCCATTTCAGGTTATTTAAAGCCAGAAAAATGTTAAATTGTAAGATTTTTCAGATAATAATGGTTTAGCGATACAAGTCTTACTAATTAACCCATAGCTGGGGGAAGATATGTTGGATTCGTACCAAATCAGAATTTCATAAAAACATTGTAATGTGGATATAATGTGGGGGATTCATTCCGTATTACAATCAATGCATAAACTGATCCCCCACTTTATGGCCATATTAATCTATATATTTATATTCCAGAGTATGTAAATAAATATAAAAACAAGCCCGTGTAGCTAATCGGTATTTCATTGATTGGTCGATTCGTTTTCTGCGTCTTATCAATCCTTTTGGTTATTTAAAGCCGGAAAATATTTTTAGATTCTAAAAATCTTCCCCTAGCTGGGGAATCAGAAGTGGTTTGATACCTTTCCCCAAGGACATTTACGCAAAATGTAACGAACCCAACGGGAATTGGAACTCGGCTCTCTGGTTAACAATTCTGAGCCATTATACCACCTGCACATCCAAGTTTACAGCATCCGGTATTCATGAGCGGTCACCCATTTAGGTAGTGGCCAAGGTCAATGTTGCTTAACTTCGGTGATCCTACGAGCCGATGTTTTTACCTGATGTAGCTGAAAGCCTGAAGTTTATTTCTGTTCACTATTAACCGAAGGTAACTTTGTTGAAAAAGTTTTATAGAAATTGTATAAAACATTTTGAAGAACAGATTTGCATACTGCAAGTTTTATATGAAAACAACTAAATTTTAAAAATCTACAAACACTCTGCACCCCCAAAAAAAAAACTTAAAAAAAAAAAAAACGTCAAAATGTTAGGAACGAATTCATTTCTGAAGGAATTTATTCATGAAAAGAATATTTTGTACGAAGTATTTGTGGAAATATTTTTTATGCCAATTACGCCCCATTCAGTTTTTGGTTACTGAAAATATTTATATTTGAATAATTCTCCGAATCAATAAAGTCGGTTGGAAACTTTATTTGATCCTTCGGGTGGTGATGTAGAAATTAGTAAATAAAAATAGGAAAAGACTGAATCGAAAAATGTGTTTGCATCTGGAGAAACAAAGCAATTTATGGAGAGTCATGATCGCTCACATAAATTCGCCCGTAAAAAAAACAAAAAAACAAAACAAACAAAAAGAAAAAACTCTGAAGACTGCTCGATGCAAAAGTGATTGCTTTCCTCTTTTTGCGACTAATTTTTATGCACGTTTCTTGCAATTCAAAAACAAAATTTCAAAGATTATATTAAAATTATTGCAGTTCATTCAGAATTTCTTGTTTTGAAAAGCCGTATAGGTACGTATAAATAGCCTTGCCTTGTTACATCAGAAATTTCGATATTTTCTCATCAATAAGAATTAAGAAGAAAGAATAAGATTACTGAAGTTTGTTGCACTATAGCCGGGAATTTTATGTTACCTTCCACTTCCAGAGAGTGTTTATAGATTTAACTCTTTAAAGTGTGAATGATTGACTAAAAAGAATTAAAAAGCGCAACCATCTACGTTTTTCAAACAGTTACCAAATTTCACTCATATGGCTTTGCCTTAAGCCATTTGGCAACGGTGCTGCACACAGGGAATAAAAGTCGATAACATCATCTCCACAACTAATCGACCATCAGCCAGTTATGCGCCATGCGTGCTACACGCTTAGATGATCATGTATCTTTCGATACATGACTGACGAGGCAGATTTTTTTCCCCGCAGTAGTTTGCCATTTCTTTCTGCGGTAGACCAGTTGCCATCCGAGGCTATAGAAAGTTATGAATCCTCTTCTTCTCCCCACCCAGCTAGGTGTCGAGAGAAGAAGAGGATTCATACCTTTACAAAGGGTATTAGACTGGAATTCGAACTCGGCTCTCCGATTCCTCAATCCAAGTCGCTATCTATTACTCCCACCGTGCCTCTTCAGGCCAAGAGAGTTAGATTCATACGTTTCCCAAGGGTATTAGCACGTAAGTGAATGTCATGGATTAGACTGGAATTCGAACTCGGCTCTCCGATTCCTCAATCCAAGTCTCTATCTATTACTCCCACCGTGCCTCTTCAGGCCAAGAGAGTTAGATTCATACCTTTCCCAAGGGTATTAGCACGTAAGTGAATGTAATGGATTAGACTGGAATTCGAACTCGGTTCTCCGATTCCTCAATCTAAGTCGCTATCTATTACTCCCACCGTGCCTCTTCAGGCCAAGAGAGTTAGATTCATACCTTTTCCCATGGGGTATTAGCACGTAAGTGAATGTCATGGATTAGACTGGAATTCGAACTCGGTTCTCCGATTCCTCAATCCAAGTCTCTATCTATTACTCCCACCGTGCCTCTTCAGGCCAAGAGAGTTAGATTCATACCTTTCCCAAGGGTATTAGCACGTAAGTGAATGTCATGGATTAGACTGGAATTCGAACTCGGTTCTCCGATTCCTCAATCCAAGTCGCTATCTATTACTCCCACCGTGCCTCTTCAGGCCAAGAGAGTTAGATTCATACCTTTCCCAAGGGTATTAGCACGTAAGTGAATGTAATGGATTAGACTGGAATTCGAACTCGGTTCTCCGATTCCTCAATCCAAGTCGCTATCTATTACTCCCACCGTGCCTCTTCAGGCCAAGAGAGTTAGATTCATACCTTTCCCAACTCGGGTATTAGCACGTCAGGCCAAAGTGAATGTCATGGATTAGACTGGAATTCGAACTCGGTTCTCCGATTCCTCAATCCAAGTCTCTATCTATTACTCCCACCGTGCCTCTTCAGGCCAAGAGAGTTAGATTCATACCTTTCCCAAGGGTATTAGCACGTAAGTGAATGTAATGGATTAGACTGGAATTCGAACTCGGTTCTCCGATTCCTCAATCTAAGTCGCTATCTATTACTCCCACCGTGCCTCTTCAGGCCAAGAGAGTTAGATTCATACCTTTCCCAAGGTTATTAGCACGTAAGTGAATGTAATGGATACGACTGGAATTCGAACTCGGCTCACCGATTCCTCAATCCATGTCTCTATCTATTACTCCCATCGTGCCTCTTCAGGCCAAGAGAGTTAGATTCATACCTTTCCCAAGGGTATTAGCACGTAAGTGAATGTAATGGTTTCGACTGGAATTCGAACTCGGTCCTCCGGTTCCTCAATCCAAGACGCTATCCGTTACTCCACTGTGCCGCCGAGTTTTAAAATGAACATCCTAACCATTTGGCCATATATAAATAGATACATAAATACGAACGATAGATATGAATATACCATGATAGATTTGAATATAATAAGATAGATAGATAGATAGATAGATAGATAGATAGATATGAACAGCCTTAGATAGATAGATATGAACAGCCTTAGATAGATAGATAGATAGATAGATAGATCATTTTTTATAATTTTTTTTATTTTATTTTTACTTAGAACCTTTATTTCGTTACTTATATAAATGTAAAAAAAATAACTTAATTCGCAATAATATAAGTGACGGCTATAAAAAGGCACTGTTGATCATTTACGGCTAATTTGTTTAAATAATGTACTGAGTATTGTTTGCGTTATATGGCAATAATTGTAATTAAAATTATGCATTAAATAAGTAACCATGTAATCGATTTAAGTTCACTAAATATCGATGCCATATGTGTGTAATTGGCATAAAATATAAAACACCAGCGAGATTTCAACTGCCACGTTAGTTATATTTCCAAGACCGTCAGATCGCGTACTTTACCCATGACACTGAAAGAGACAAGCAACAGACATAATCCAAATTTAGTTAAAGTGATTCTTTATCCAAATTCCAGATAAAAAAAAATTGTCTTCTTTTACTTTTATTTTTTTATTCTTCCTGTTTTGCTTTATTCCTTCATTTCTTTCTTTCTTTCACACTTATATTTTCTCTCTTTCTTTGAGGTAATAATCTACGTCATCTGTTGATGATCTAAAAGCAGATCTACTTGTAGAAGTCTGTGTATGCGCATTACTTACTGGGAATAAATCAGAGATTGAAAAGCGTTATCGCCATCTAAAAAGACGAAAAGGTATTCTATAGAAAGAAAGAAAGAAAGAAAGAAAGAAAGAAAGAAAGAAAGAAAGACACAAAGCAAATCAGAAGAAAGAAGAAAGAAAGAACTGTCGAAAGGGCGAAGGAACGAACGAACGAACGAGAAGAAAGAAACAAAGAAAAAGAAAAGAAAGAAAATCAAAAAGAAAGAAAGAAAGACCAAAGAAAAAAAAAAAGAAAGAAACTAATTTGTAAAAAAAAAACTGAGAAGAAAAAAAAAGAATTACGGACCAAAGGAAAGAAAAGAAACTGATAACAAAAGGAAAGAAAGAAAAGAAAGAAAGAAAAAGAAAAAAAAAAAAAAGAAACAAAAAGAAACAAACAAAATCAAAAAAAAAAGAAAGAAAGAACGGACGGACCAAAGAAAGAAAAAAGAAAAAGAAACAAAAAAACAAAAATCAAAAAACAAAAAACAAAATCAAAAAAGAAAAAAGAAACAAAGAAACAAAGAAACAAAAAAAAAGAAACAAAAAAAAAAAGAAAAAAAAGAAAGAAAAGAAACGGACCAAAGAAGATAAAAAAAAAAAACAAAAAAAAAAGCAAAGAAACAAAAAAACAAAATCAAAAAGAAAGAAAGAACGGACGGACCAAAGAAAGAAAGAAAGAAACAAAGAAACAAATAAGCAAAGAAACAAAAAAACAAAATCAAAAAGAAAGAAAGAACGGACGGACCAAAGAAAGAAAACAAAGAAAGAAATAAACAAAGAAACAAAAAAAAACAAAATCAAAAAAAGAAAAAAGAACGGACGGACCAAAGAAAACAAAGAAAGAAAAAAAAAAACAAAAAAAGCAAAGAAAGAAAAAAAACAAAAAATAAAAAAAGAAAAAAAAAACGGACGGACCAAAGACCAAAAAGAAAGAAAGAAACAAAGAAACAAATAAGCAAAAAAACAAAAACAAAAACAAAATCAAAAAAGAAAAAGAAAGAAACGGACGGACCAAAATCAAAAAAGAAAAAAGAAAAGACCAAAGAAAGAAAGAAACAAAGAAACAAATAAGCAAAGAAACAAAAAAACAAAATCAAAAAGAAAGAAAGAACGGACGGACCAAAGAAAGAAAGAAAGAAACAAAGAAACAAATAAGCAAAGAAACAAAAAAACAAAAAAAACGGAAAAAAGAAAAAAAAAAAAGAAAGAACGGACGGAAACAAAAAAAAAAAGAAAAGAAAAAAAGAAAAAGAAAGAAACAAAGAAACAAATAAGCAAAAGAAAAAAAAAACAAAATCAAAAAGAAAGAAAGAACGGACGGACCAAAGAAAGAAAGAAAGAAACAAAGAAACAAATAAGCAAAGAAACAAAAAAACAAAATCAAAAAGAAAGAAAGAACGGACGGACCAAAGAAAGAAAGAAAGAAACAAAGAAAAAAAACAAAAAGAAAAAAAACAAAAAAAACAAAACCAAAAAGAAAGAAAAAAAAAACAAAAGAAACAAAAAACAAAAAGAAAAAAGAAAAAACAAAAAAGAAAGAAACAAGAAACCGAAGAAAGAAAGAAAGAAAGAAAGAAAGAAAGAACAAAAGAATGAAAGAAATAAAGAAATTCAAGAAGAAAGAAAAGAAAAACTAAGAAACTAAAGAAAGAAAAGGAAAAGAAAGAAAAATGAAGACGAGAATGTTTGATATATAAATAGATGTAAGTAAAAATCGAACGAAACAATAAAAAAGGAGAAAAGCTGACAATCAATAGAAAATACAACAGAAAAGAAGAAAAAATGAAGCGATAAAGACATCGATAATGCAGTAGAAAAGATTGAAAAACTATGAAAGAGCGAAAAGAAAATAATCACTGAGAAAGAAAAGGTCTGTGAAAATGAGAAAGAAAGAAAGTCTGTTAAGAGAAAGAAAAAAAAGACGACGTTAAAACGAAAGGGACAAAATAAAGGGAAGCATAGACTGATCGATACTGAATGAATGGCGCTTTGTTAGATCAATAAATGGCAAGATAGATTTATTAGGCAAAAGACGGAAGGATGGTCTTGTTTTCAACCGACACCGATTTCCCAGCTGACCTTGGCATATCTTTACCTCTTCGACACTATTAAATCTGTCCGAATCGCAAAGAGTGCCATGGGCACTAATGGTCGACATGCATCGTAGCAACGATCCAATCGATTTTGCTATTAAAATAATAGTGCTCGCCAGGGAAACTTGCAAAAAAAAAAGCCTGTGCATAGATTTTCATAGAAAATTCTAGATATGTAATTGCCATACCTGTATGTGCATAAAGGTAGAAATATATGGGTATGTCGATCTGGAGATAATTTGTGGAAAATGTTGGAACATATAGATGTAATTAATGGCGAGTTACTAATATGTATCGAGGACTGAGGCTGGACTGATGGAAGATAGAAAGTAACTTCTGAAAAAGCTTATTCGATAATTACCCTGTCTAATGTTGACATTGACATCAGTGTGCCGCAAATTAGTAAACTGTACATCTACCTGCTTAAAGAAAACTAACAAGCATCTAAGTTGTGCCTACTGCTCCCACGTAATTCTAAATGGTACTATTATTGGCATGCGGTTAATGTTTGAGCTTGATCACGCCAGTTTTCTTGCTGCTGTTACAATGTATACATGTCCGCCCCGCTAGCAGTGTGCACCAAGGAGAAACAAAGAGCAACAATTCGATTTCTCTAGTCGGAAGGTGTATCAGGGGCTGAAATTCATCAGAGGCTTTTAACATTGCACTACCGTGTTTGTATGAGTGGATCGAGAAGTTTAAAAGTGACCAAAGAAGCGAGGGGCACGAAGACGGACCAGAACTGCCGTCAGCCTCCACCACTGACGAGAAGATTCAGTAAGCTATGATAATGTAAGTATGATAATGGCGGACCGACAAGTTATAATCGATGAGGTACCAAGTTCTTTGCAGATTCGAATCACGTTCCTCTTTGTTGCACACTGCTAGCGAAGCGGCCATGTTTACACTGTAACATCAGCAAGAAAACTGACACGATGAATTCTAAACTTCGATCACCTAATATCGAGTCAATACTAACAGATAAAGGACGTTGAACTATGGCATATATTTATTTAAACCATTGTTATCTTGGGCGGAGAAGAGCCGGTGCACTCTTTTATGCCGCAGCGCCGCTGTCTGTGGCAAACACATCTTGGTTGTTGTCATATAAATTTCAGTTATTTTTCTTGACAGAATTTCGTTTGAGGATATGTGTTGCTCTATTTTCGTCTTTGGTGCCCGTTAAAAGTTCATATATATATATATATATATATATATATATATATATATATATATGTGTGTGTGTGTGTGTGTGTGTGTGTGTGTGTGTGTGTGAAGAAATATAGATAGTTTTAAGTTTTTATATGTTGGGGTAAAAATGCTCAATATCCTAGATAGGGTATATATAAATATTAAATTTAAAAGTGGACAATGATGTCAACGCCAAGCCACGACAGTTTGTTTTATGTTTCAACGCAATTTTCAAGCTTATACACAGCCCCCCCATATATATATATATATATATATATATATATATATATATATATATATATATATATATATATATATATAAGAGGAAGTACTTGTGCCATAAGTTGTATTTTTCGGTGAGGATGTTAGCGGAGTGGCGGAAAAGTCAAGGGTTACCCCGGGCAATACACAATCTACACCCCGACCGGCATACAATCTAGCTATCCCACTGGCCGCCAGAACATACTATTTTGGGAAAGTTACAATAATACTTCTTACGTTATTTTGATGTTTGCAATCAACTATTATTATTACTATGTTACATACAATTGTAAGTGTGTGTCAGCGCGCGAGTGAGTGTGTGTGTTTGTGTGTCAGCGCGCACGCGAGTGTGTGTGTGTGTGTGTCTAAAAGTTCTTTAAACGTGTTTACTTAGAGAACGCATGGTCATTACCTCAATATTAAACACTTTCTGAAAATAAAATCTTGCAATAAGTCATCGTCCTATGCCCCCCCCCCCCAAAATTGCCTCCACAGTAGATGAACTTTTACTTTTCCAAAGTTCATCCATGTAGCCATTTAGGCCTTAAAAAAAGGTCTTTTAATAATAACTATCACACGTCTTTCTTCCTAAACTTTATTAAAACATCTATATCCGTAAGAAACCAAGTGTATGTGGTACACGCCACACATACACAGAGGCATATGTGTGTGCATGTAAGCAAATATCTGTTAGTGATTTGTATTGTATTGCAAACAGAAGAAGGATCTTTATCTAAATGCATTGTCTTCTCTCAAAGGCTTAACTTCTGTCTTATTGTACTTGACATCTCCCAAGCCATGTATTACACCTGTGCAAATTTAAAGTAACAATGAAATACACGTTGCGAAGTATCCAGCCTGGTCATTGTCCATATGAATAGAGATTCTTCATTTGATATCATTTCTATGTAACAGAGAAGAATAAAGAAACAATTTAGTCTGAAAAAGTGGCTCATATTTACCGCAAGCTCTCCTCTTTGAATTATTTCTCATTTTCTTTGTTACTTGAACCAATCTCCTTCTTTAAAGAAATGCGGATTCTAAAATCTTCGATTCCTGTCTCGTTAAAATTCACGCCAGTACAATGCCATGTCTCTTAAATGATAACAAGTGACAAGGAATCTCTACAATAATTTGGTATTCTTTGCAATATGCTTGCTGAATATAGTTACCTCACTGACTGGATGTGTTGCTTTTTGTAACAGATATCAGCCATGAAAATGGAATCGGCTAGCCACGTTCGAATTGCAATCTAGTCTGTGAGGTTCACTTTCGTAAAAATGCCCTTGGTCAAGGCAGGAAGCCGCCTATTCTTCCAAAACCCCGTTTTTTTAAGAAGCAGATTAGTCTGGGCTCTTCGACATTGGCTTGCAACCAGTCTAAGAGAAGGAAAACTCTGAAATCTAAAGAGTGGAATTCCAAACTGTTTCCAAAGGGGAGCCACTCATATTGGTAATCTTCAGTTTACTCGGCATTTATTATTTAATAAAGTTCTTTTTGCACCAGTTTATGAGATCTGATGAAGGAATGTATTCATTTTCCTGAAACTATTTTTAATCACTGATTTGAGAAACGGGTGTATACAACTGACAGTTTAGATATTTACAATTTCAGCGCGATACATAATATCTATTTGAGAGCCTCAATTTGACAATGCTATTGAAAAACATCACTTGATCTTTTAGGTTAGACTTTTGGCTTTGAAGCATCTCGTGGTATTGTTCAAAACTCTCCCTAGGGCAGGCTCTTCTATGGTCAATTTATTTTACAGGTAAATCCTACTTCTTTGGAACCCTTGGTAAAAAAAATACATCTATATAAAAACTATGATGACCCATGTTATCAGCATGATCCCACCTTCCTTCTTGGTACACCAGTCTCAGCAGGAAAAAACGAGAACAATGTTTTATGTAAGTAGATTCGTTTGGGACATGGTATGGGATTTTTAGATGATAAAGGTCTGTTTCTTTCTATTTGCGCTTACACACGCGCGGAGGTTAGTCTAGGAAGAGATTAAATTAATCATGGAGTTGTTTGATGGTATATATGCCATCATTACAGCCCATACCAGAACGAAAGCCAAAATGAGTCGTTATAACTTGACTTGACATTGAATGAAGAGAATCTAGTTAGTAAAATATTAATTACAACTTTCACCATAATGGATCCAATTAAAATACCATTGTACCTGTATATTTTAAGAAGTTATTTTGGGTGAAACCTCGAACCAATCGATAATCCCTTCTTCTTCCTGTTGGTAGACATCTTCGTTGTAAGTTTTGTTTAATTTTTCTGTTGCAAATAGTTTTATCAAGTACTTTAAAAGCCACTTGATAATCGGCGGTACAGCTCTTATTTTATTCTGATGCCGGGGTCAATATACATAATAAACATTATTTTTGAATAAAATATAATTTTGAAGATCTTGTATTTTAGTTCTGCCATAGTTGCTGATAGATTTCCGTTCAAATGGTGTTGTGCCCACCTCAGGCATATTATCTAATTTTCGTTCCAGAGAATTTTCAAATATACCCAGGAATGTTTTAGGGCATGTATTTTAGGGTTCATTACAAAATCTACTTCTTGGTCTAAAGCAGAAGCAAATTTGGATATCACAGCACATTAATGTCATATCCAACGGCTTTGATGTGTGTGCTTTTGATTCCAAACTTCACCGATAAAAATAAGAAACCTATTTCTAAATCCCAGGATAGAGATATTTAAACTTTCAGCCATAATGACCATTATTATTGTTCATGACATTCTCGTCTTCATAATCACTAGGTTGTAACTTTTGGATATATACTAGTGCATATTCAAATGCATCTGGCATCTTCAGTTTTGTGGGTTCAAGATTGAAGTATAACTGGAAGTGTCCTTTGAGAACTGGACATTTCTTTCTTTGACTTTGACGTTGTATAATATTATCGAGTTTTGTCTTTTTTTATTTATTTATTTTTATTTTTATTTATTTATTTATTTATTTTTTTTTTTTTTTTTTTTTTTTTTTTTTTTACTTATTATTTTATATATTTTTGCTTTACTTCACATTTCAGCACATGATTTTCTTGGCTTCATTGATCTGGTTTGAAATTAATTGCGAAACATATTTATTTCTCAGAACCTTAACTTTATTTTTCTGTACTGTTTTTCTTCTACTTTTCATTCCTTTCTGGTAGCCGCTTCTATTATCATCTATACACCCCAACATCCCTACACACCCTACATCCCAACACCCCCACACTTATATATATATATATATATATATATATATATATATATATATATATACACGGTAGTGATTGTTGAATTTTTAATAGGAGCCTGGAATTTTAATTTGCAAGTTTTTCTCATGCCTTCAAGTGACAAGGACTATTTGACTTGTAAATATAATAATTTGTGCTAATGTTATTCAAATCTCCAGTTTGTGACAGGCATTCAGTTTCTTTCATTTTACATGTTAAGAGCCCTTTACAACATTTTACAATTAAAGCTTCGGGGTTATCGCACAACGTAATACCCGTATTAGAATGAATCCTTTCATTCTCCGTTCATTTTTTTTTTTTTTTGCTCCCTTTTTTGTTTCAAACTTATAAATATTTTCTTTTTTCTT